TGACATAGACTAATAATTGGCAAAATAAATGTGAACTCACTTTTGCATTTTGATCGGAAATAAAGTGGAAATCACTGACACAGAAGGCCAACAAATATGTAGACATTCTGACGGTTTTCTCAAACGTCGAGGCAATCCATTCCCCTCTTCAACGAACAATTTTATTAACTTTTTGACTACTATTTCATTCAATTTATATTATCAGTTGAAAGGTGTTAACATTTTTTGTAAATATCTAATGTATGTATCAAATTTATACAGTATTGATTACAACTGACCTACCACAATAATGTACCATGTTGCAAGCAAAATGCAAACAACGAATTTATTTATTTATTAGTTAGATATACTGTATATCTTATCCCATATTATGCTGTGTTTTACAAGATTTGTCTTATTTTATGAATAAATTATTATAATGTTTAAATGAATCACAGAATATTCTAATGAAAATTTTTAGATTTTAAACTGAATTGAATTGCACAATACCTGTGCTGAGTGCTAGCTTTGGGCATATTGGACAGGGCTGTCAGGTTGCGGAGATGAATGAGAGTTAAAGTGAACGTCGCTTTCATGTTGGGCTCATCAAAGCAGGGAAAGGCTCGGCGCGCGTCCGTCGGCTGGAATTGAGTGACCGCTAACCACCTGACCATACATTTGTCCAAATAATCAATCAATTTATTGTTTTGGTTGCAGGCATATAATTATATAATTTATGCCCATTAAGAGATATATAATAGTCAATTAATGGGATAATGGCATTTCTGGGATGATTTAACGATTTTAGTGGTTTAAATCATCCCAGATTTAATAATTATGAATCCCCCAAACATTAACAATCAATTATTCCAATTCAAAAATTATTAGTTTAAAAAATGTTGTCATTTTTAAGCTCCAGGTTTAGGACTTATAATGCAAAAGTAATTTAATGATTACGGTAATTGTATTTTTTAAAATGTATGAGAAATGTATGACAATAATCTTATAGTAAGTGAAAGCAAGTATTATAGTTAATAATTTGTAAGTCGTGTTACATGTACTGTAGATATTTTGTAAATATATGTATTAAAGTGAGAATTATAAATATACTAATAAAGTCTTAAACTTTTTAACACTCGAGAACACTATTGAATGTGAGTTCAAAACAATAAGAGTTACGAAATTTTCAATTGACATAAAATTGGTCTCATTTCCAGATCCTATCGATAGATAAAAGTTAAAATACTTATCATTAAAAACAGGAAATTTTGAAAACAATTAACTTTATAACTGAAATGAATAATTTATTTTGTTTGTTTTGCAATTATATAAGAAAAATATAAAACCAAGAAATGTGTTACTAATCATTAATTTTAGACATTTAAAATTTTATATATTGTAATCAGCTTTTTTGTGACTTGAATAAACTAAATAAATAGTAAATAATTATCGAAAGCATTTGACTTACAAAACAAATAAACTAAATACTAAAACATTTTGTTATTTTTTGACACAAATTACTATAGTGATAAATTAATAACAGTGTTTGTCATTAAAAAAACCTAATTGTGATAAATCTCTCCATTTATTAACATAAATTAATAAATAGGGTACCATTTCTTATTCAATAATGTTAATTTTTATATACCGTACAATTTTTCTAAAATGTAAATTATTAGTATACCTAATGTCTACCTCAAACTCCCATTTTCTAGGAAATATTTTTTAATTTTCTAATAGATTAATAGTAAGCTTATATTTCCAAAATTAAAATTAACAATAATTGTTTATCTATTATTAGAAACAAAATAATATTTGACACTGTATATTTGTAAAAGTTCTATAAAAATAAAATATAAAATTCTGTTAATATTAATTTAAATATTCATTTTTAAAAATATGTTTGAATTGCATTTAAATTATAAAATTTGTAATTTAATTTAAGAATTTATATGTAATACATGAGTAAATTGTTTCTCAAACTTCAACAAAAATTTAATTAAAATAGTTTTAACGCATAATATCATTGTCTTTATTAGTGTATAAACTATGTGAATATTTGTAGGAAATTAGCGCTAAAATGAATACTATGAATACTAATACAATAAATGTAACATTAGCATTAATTAGTGGTTTAAATTACATTTGTAAATATTGATGAAATTTACTCAATTGAATATCTTTTAAATTCAAACAATAAATTCTAAGGGATATTAATTATAAGAATTAACGAAAAGTAAATTATATAATTAATGCATCAATAATACCAAACAATTTGTTCAACTTTTTAGAAGAGCTTTCATAGGGTTTAATGAAATTCTTACGAATGACTTGAACCTAGTATTGAATTTAAAGTC